TTTCACCATAAAACGACCAAAATACCAACACCTTCCAAAAAGTCAGCGCTCCGAGACATTCATCAACACCGACGTTCTCCAAATCAGCAATGACAAGTCTACAGGTGTTTCTCTGCTCATGAAACCTGGGTCAGCGTGACCTCAACAATGAAATTCAAACACTGCTACGAGCTCAGGAAGCTAACGGCTAAAACAACCAGACTCAGTTCTGACTCCAGTGGACTTACTTGTATTAATGCAGTGGTCTTTCCTGACTGTCGACGTTCCTGCTCCTCCTCCTTTTCCGAGCGGATGTAAAGACCTTTGCCAGATGAGACGCTTCCTCTTCTGATTTGGGTTTAAGTTCTTTAATCCAAAAATCCATTCCTGCACTGATCATATTCAGGAGGCGTTCGAGGACGGTAGTCTCTGTTGATTTTTTTTTTTTTTTTTTTTTCAGGCCTAATCCATTTAGACGTTGACTTCATGATGAAGCAGAATCAGTTTTTCGAGAATTTAGAATTTAATTTCAACCTTCTTTATCATAAAAATCCCATAATGCACCATGGCTGATTAAGTTCAACAACAATAACAATAACATGCAGAGGAACCATGAAGAACCATGACAGGAACAAGGCCTCGGCCCATAATGGAAGTCATTAGAGTTCCTGTGGACGAAGGGTTCCCTCTGGGCTCTCAGGGCCAACATCTGATTGGTTAACACTCCAGGACCACAGTAAAAGTCACCGTCATGATCTGTGCTGGGCTTCCTTTCTTCAGCCAGGTGGTGCTCTGGTCTCCATGTGGTCTTCTTATCTGCTGATCTCTGAAGTTCCTCCAGGTTTCCTTCTCCTCTGGACTCTGGTCCTAGTCCAGGTTCAACCACTGGTCCAGGTTCTTCAGCTGCTTCCTGTCGTCCATCTTAACATTCAGCACAAACACAGTATTTATTACTGAACACCAACACAGCCTGGTGAAAAATGGCCGCCACTTCCAGGTGACAGGTGAGCTCAAACTCCCCCCACAAATCACAACATCTAAAATCTGCATTTTTTTTAAAATATATTTTAAATATGTTTTTCAAACATCAATATTTTGTCAATATTAGACATGCAATTTACAAAATCTAAATTTTTTAATAAAAATAAAAACTTTCACCATCTTACCTCACCCCTCACTAACCTCCCCACATGGTCTCACCCGGAACCTCTCACCGTGATTGGTCCCTGGGTGACAGCAGGGACACAGGTGAGTTAGATTAGGCTAATTCATTTCAGGAGCAGCTGTGTGTCCAACCCAGGACACAGGTGAGTTAGATTAGGCTAATTTTTCTGTCATCATTTCAGGAGCAGCTGTGTGTTCAACCAAAGGTCCAGGACCCAGGTTTGGATCCAAACACATACAGATGGTCGAACATCAGTGGATCAAATATTAAAAAATAGAAATAAATGAATTGTACTTTAACAAATAAACCAATGAAATGTCTCTTCCACCAGGTCACAGCTCGTTCCTTCAACTCCAATAATTGTTGGAACTTTTTATAAAACTTTATAATAGAACTGCAAAACCTCAGGAAAAATGACAGCTGACGTTAATTATTTATCAAACACTAATAGCAACTGTAAAAAAAAAAGTTCCGACTCACGGACGTGACAAATGTGACACATCACAGATACCGGTCTGCAGCTGTCGGCGTCGCTTCACTTCAGCCATGAAAAGTTCCCCACGCCGTTGAATTCAAACTTGTGTCATCACGTCTCCGGGCTCCGACCTAAATCAGACGAGGCCTAATATGTGAACATGTTTCAGTGATCGATCACGACCACCAATCATCATTAACGGGGGCCGTGTCCGTCAGCTCGCTGCGGCACATTTGTACGGTTTTATACACAGACACGGAGCCGCCTTTTATTGACTTCAGATATAACAGCCGACACGGAGCCGTCGTCAGGAGGTCGCTCACACCTTCTGGAACGCTCCGCTGAACACGTTTGTATTCTGTCACAGGTGTCAAAATCATTTTGGGCCAGTGGGCCGGACCAGTACAACCATAACATAATTAGTCCTTGTTTTTCCTCTTTTGTTTTCATGCAAATTAATACAAGTTTATGAAAAAAAAATCATATTTAACAAAATATCATTTGACAGAACATCACAAAAAAATTTCAATTTCAACATTCATCAAGTGGACCTGATTGGACCTCCCCAGTGGACCAGGTTTTGCCCATGCACCATATGTTTGACACCCCTGAACTAGAATTCATACTCCCTGATACCTTCTTTAGGTTATGGTACTTCTTTAGGATGGGTTTGAGGACTGTAGGGGGCGCCAAAACATGCCCGGTCACCTCTCTTGAGGCTAATTCCTGATGGTGAAAATAAAAATAAATTCGTTGTAAAAGATTCAGATTCATGATCACAGGGCACACGCGCCAGCGCTGGCAGAAGTTTAGTGTGTTTTTCTGGAAGCCACAGAAACTCCCCCGCTCACTGGGCATAAAAAAAACTGCAGCCCACCGCTCCTGTGTCCGGTGTTAATCATTGGTTGCACAGAGTAATTCCCTCTGGGGATTATTGGCTGAAAAAAAAAAAAAAAAAAAAACGTCTATGAAGGGCCAACGTCCGGGAATGAAGCTCAACTTTTATTGTCTGAAAAAGACTTTCAGAAACTTCAACTTCTCCCAGATCCAGACTCTCTGGTTAATATGTTGGCTCTGTGTTTTATTATTTAGACAGAAATAGACTGAACAGATCTGTCAGCACCTGGTCTGAACAAATCAGAGAGATCTGATCTGTGTTGTACAAAATCAGAAGAAGAAGAAGAAGAGAAATGGAAACGGTCGTCGACTCCATCTTGAACCACTTCCTGTCTCCTCACTGATGCCCCTTCAGGCCACTGCGATCACGTCCCCCTGAGTGGAACTCTTCAGTCTTCGAGCCGTCAAATAACTCAACTCAGACGGAGCTCTCATTAATGATTTTTTTTTATCTTTTATTTTTATGACGGCTCTTTTTATCGACATGATTCTGCATCTTTATATCCATCTGTTTTACGGCCGTTTTATTATCCCGGCACCTTATTTATTACGCTGACCTTTGTTTGTTTGTCGTTCCGTGACCTTGACACACTACAGGTTTGTGGACTGTGAGATTGTAATTGGGCTAAGCTGCAAATGAACTGCCCCGGCTGGGCTGAAGGAGGTCGGGTCAATCTGAACCACCGCTCCTCCACTCCTCTGAGTCAAGTCTAGATTCAAGACGTAATTGCTACGAGGTCGACAGTGAAAGGATTGAAATGAGTGTAAGAAAAATAGGATATAAAATCGACAGTGAAAGGATTGAAATGAGTGTTAGAAAAATAGGATATAAATATATATGTTACATACGTGTGTGTGGTAGAGTATAAATGCAACATCCAAAAGTGATGGACTTAAAAACTATCATTTATTTCACCTCCACAAACGACGGAAAATCTGATTATCTTTTACGGCCACCAGGGGGCGACTGGTCCGGATTACGAGCGGTAAATTAATTTGTGTGCAAGTTTATTTGAGCAGTCACTGGATTAACGACGTCCGTAAACATTTTCCTGATGAGTTTATGGTCTTGTTTCAGATCTGCATATTTGGCATTTTATGAATTACGGTCTAATTTGGAGCAAATTCAGGAGGAGGAGGAGGAGGAGGAGGAGGCGGAGGAGGAGGCGGAGGAGGAGGCGGAGGAGGAGGCGGAGGAGGAGGCGGAGGAGAAAGAGGAGGAGGAGCTGTCACACGCCATAGGCCTTAGGTGTGAACGTCAACGTTATTTGCAAACGTGATATTGACATTAAACTGTAAAAAGTGTTCCATGCAGTAATATTTGAAGTAGTAATTTACATTTTGCATGTACTTTTTCTTTGATGAGAATAGCAATTTTTCAAGCTTTTAACAATAACTGTGTGTCAACAGTTTGGGAGTTTGTTTACAAAGTAGAGATTTTTTAATCACAAATGTCTTTACTTTCAGGCAAATAAGCAGCTAAAATTAAAGGCGACAAAAAAAGTCCTCTCAAACCTGTAATCAACTCGGTGTCTTAATTAATCTACTTCCTCGACTGCGTACTTCTGGGACTTCCGCAGGTGGTTTGGTGTACCTGGAGAAAACAGCCCGCATTTGCAGCGTGGTTTATATCCCATAATCAGAGCCGTCTGTGAATAATGTCCTAAAGTGATGCTGCGTTTAGGATTTCTCCTGCGCTTCAACATCAATTTCCTGTTGGCCGTTGCCTTATTCTGGACAACATAGGGAACAGGAAATTGAAGTGGTTGAAGCCAGGGCAGAATGAGAGGAGTTCCTAATGAACATAAAAACCTCAGAATCACACAGCAGAGTGATACCTGAAGTGACTGGTGTTGGAGAGTGAAACGGGTGAATTTGTCTTCTCAGCATCCTCGCAGCCATGACTCAGACTCTGATGTGCGATTACTGGAACACTTGAGGGGAAAATATATTATTCATTCCAAAATTTGCTGTTGCTTTAGACGCGTTTATCTTCCCACAGTGCACTTAAAATCCACCGGCACATTTCTTCACAGGCCGTTGTTAGAGAACCACCAGCAGAAGAGGCTCTGATGGTGGAAACAAGTCGGGGCAAAAAAAAACAAACAAAAAAAAATACACCATTTTAACACAGCCACCAATTACGGGGAAGTACGAGAGCGTCCTAACGGCTCTCCAGTTAGTAATGCTGAAGCTAGTATCACTTCTGCATGTATTATGCATACATGCAAATGGTATATACGTATGCATAATATAGTGGTTTAATAAAGCACAGCAGGACGTTTGGGAATGGGCTGAAACTTGGTTTACATTGTTTGTTTGTTTTTTTTGTGGGGGGGGGGCGACTGAATGGCTCTCTACAGGAACAAAAGCTGATAAATGCCTGAAAAAAAAAAAAAAGATGTAAAAGTGTACAGACAGCGGTGTTTTCAGACAGGGTTATTTGTTTGATATCTGATACATATGAAGGAATAAAAAAAGTGATTTTGATTTGAACCGTTTATTCAGATATAAAGCAGGCACATGGATACAACGTGTGCACTGAAATAGCCAGCTCTAAACAACAAACCAACCCACGGCAAAGTAGTTTGATATCACTCCAGAATCAAATCCTATCTCTGAATACAGCAAGACGATGAGAAAAAAATAATAATAATAAAAAAAATACTAATCACTCTCTCATCATTCAGATCTGCAGTTATAAAAATATCCACCTATCAAACAACCTCTCTCTCTCTCTCTCTCTCTGCTTCACTTCTCAGATGTCAAGGCAGCCAAACAAAGAGTCCGAAGCAGCAGGATTTCAAAGCCGCTCCTCACACCACTGCACCACTATGCAGCAGAATGCTGACAAAACAAGCTGCAGGGAGCGACCGTCCTACAGTCATTACCTGAAGTCAAAGCAAGATAAATCTTTTTTTCCCTGTTTCACTTCTAAACTTCCTGCCCTTTCAACTTCTCTGTGGGTTTTTTCTTTCTTTCTTTCTTTCTTAACCTCAAACCTTCTCAGATTGTGCAGTACACACCAAAACCTGTTAGTGTTTGACATTAAATAAGAAAAAAAAACAAAAAAAACACACAAACAAGGAGACTCTTCAGAGTCAGATCCGTCCCAGCTCCCTGCTCACCTTGGAGCTGAAGAGAAAAACATATTGATCCCTTGATTTGGACACGTTCTCAGGAAATGGAAGTGATTGGTCTCATTGACATTTAATGAAGCTTTCTGTGCCAACAGTGACGACGCGTTAGTCTATGGCTCTTCAGATGAAAACCAACTTCAACGAGTCCACCTGCTGGCCGTACAGTAAGCGTCAGGCAGAAAACAATCTGACACCTTTGGTTTGCTGCATTGTATTAACATTTTAAACACAAATAATTTGAGATGCTTAAGTTATTAGGAAAAAAAAAACAAACAAAAAAAACATTTAATCAGTACTTTTTCAGAAATATAAACCACAAGTGGAACTGCTCTAAAAATAGGATTTTAAGTCAGTTTACTCTCATTTAAGTCTTTATAGTGACAAAAATATCTATATAAAGTAAAAAATATGAAGTATTTTGACTTTGGCTCTTTAAAGTGTGACCAAAGTTGGTTTTTAGTTAGAGTTTTTCTTTTTTGAAAAAAAAAAAAGCAGTTTAGATTTTTGCATAGATGACGCTCAGACTAAAGTCATTATTTGCCATAATCATGTACCAGTCATTATATTATAGTGTAAATAACCAGCGACCCTACAGCACAACTAAAAAAAAAAAACAAAAATGGTTAAGGATAAGGAACAGTTAAAATCCTCCTGGAATAACATCTTACGTGGAATTTATTTTTCTTTTCCCATCTGCCCCCAAAAACAAAACAAGTATAAAAACAACCGTTGTCCAGTTCACTTTCCTCCAAGTGTATTTTCAGGACAGACAGGACAAAGTCACAGACACATCTGGACTCCGAGCTTTAAAATGTAAGAAATGTAGGAAAATAGTTGGTCAAAAAAAAAAAACAAGGCGTCTATGAAATGATGGAACTAAGACGGCGTTGTTCTATACTATGTTAACTCACTGATACATACATGTGTGTATTTTTATTATTTTTGTTTTTTACTGAATCTAAATACTATCCATGGCTTTGAACTCGCTCAGCGCCTGCACCGGGTTCACGTGCTTCTTGTGCGAAGACCTCTTGACCCGGTTGGTCTGACCGTCGTCGTGCTTCTCTCTCTTGACCAGAGGCTTCTTCTCGGGAGCTTTCATCCTCCATGACACGGCGGGCATGTTGAGGGACTCCATGCCTTTGCTCTTCTGGTACTTGGTGGACGCCACGTAGGAGGCCTTGACCGTGGACACCACGGCGTTCATCAGGTTCTTTGCGGCCTGGATGAGCGACATGGCGCTGTCCAACTGTTAGGGGGAACGAACAGGCGAGAGTAAAACATTAATGGGAAAGAAAAGGAAAGCAAAACAGCTGATTTCATTTTTAAAAAACGTTCATCTTTACGCTTGTAAGTTTCGCAGAGTTCACGTGAAGTTCTCCCTCCGTCCTCATGTCACCCAGCTCAGTACTGAGAGTTATATTATGGTTGAATGATAGTACAGAAAACCTGCAATACTCATAAAGATGAGAAAGCAGTGATTCAGGGAAAAGGTCGCAATAATTCTATCTCTGAGACGTCTGTGACACTAGGGAGTATTTATAAATCGTACCGTACGATTCTGCGGTGGGAGGAAACACTCTGAGCTAATATTTTCTTCACTAATTGCCCTGACAGCTATGTGATCAATTAATGTTAAAAGCACTTGTTAAACATGGGTCTTGTTAAATGTTATCTCAAGGTTAAGAAAACACTTGGGCGACATTAGTTGTTTTTTTCTACTCGGCAGAGAAATCCATTATTTCTGTCGTCTGGTTCGTCGACAAAATATAAGCTGCAAATTAAAGCGCGGGGACAGAATCATTAACGCACGGCAACAGACCAACCGCCGGCACGACTGGGTTCTCAGTGTTTATCCAATAGTATTAAGGAAAGAAATTAGATAATGAGATTTTAGTAGGTTTCCACTGTATTGTGGTTAGCTGGAAATTAAAGGAGCATTGTGGGAATTTAACAAAACAATCCATTACATTCCTGGCTTCTGGTATTAATGAGAGTTAGTCACTGCAACTCGAGTATTATATTAAGTTCAAAGCGTTTGCAAACACTGTCCGGCTGTTGGGCAAAAATAGCTGTAGCAAAAGATTTTTTTGATATTTACCATTTAATTTGCTCAAAATATCATTTCAAATGCTGTGCAATACCGACTTGTTCCTTCAGAGGAAGTCGGAGAAAAACAGAGCAACTGTCTGTACCAACTAGAGCACAGGGCTGTTAACACATTAATGATTAACTAAATAACTAATTCAATCTGACCCATTAAAACGAATGGTGGGATTAGTTTTAAAGTACTCTTTTTTTTTTAAATACTCATCTTTGCAAACAGTGATCAACATGGTCCAAAATGTCTTTTTTTTTTTTTTTATTGGTCCTGCTGACAGTTCTTGATGAACTGGAACAAACAGTGCTCTTGGTTGAAGACTGCAGGGTTTCTCTTTTAGCACAACATCCACTATTTTACCTTCTGTCGTAAATGTTTTGAAGCCTTTTTTTTATTTTTAGTTTCAGTTTTATTGGTACGCTGTTTCTTTTAAAGAAAAAAAAAGGAAAAAAAAAAAACAGCATTACTGCCACAACTTGTGGCCATCTGCAGTTATCGCAACAAATTTAATGACCGGGTTTGATTCAATACACCAATTGAAGGCTTTAGTACTTTTGAGGAACTGTGGGCCCCGTGTTTTTAATGGAAACCATCAGTTCAACTCACCCCTGACACCACCAGCTCTCCTCCCAGGTTCTGGACCTCGGCCTTGACTTTGCTGCAGATGTTGAGCTGGTGACAGTAGAGGGCGATACGCTGCAGGTAGGCGAGCAGATCGTTCTTACAGGTGGAGTCGGGGCACTGTGGGGGGGGGGGACAAACAAACAAAAAAAGGTAGTAAACAGAACGGTTTGTTTAAATATCACCGCTGCGGTGGATTTACTCCTGTTCACTTGTTGGCACAACTCCGTCAGTATTTTTTTTTTGTGTTCCACAGACACTCTGTCAGGATGAGTTGGTACAAGTGCGACAGGTAGACACCCACATGAGGAGCGTGCTTGGAGCAAACAAGACAAAAGCACGCCCACAGCCGCGTGCAATTGTAACTCATCTTCAGCGAGTTAAATGTGCACAAAAATTGTTCAAAACAAATTGAGTTTAGAGGCAAACAATTTCTAAATCAATCAGAAATAAGATGATGTTGTTCAGAGGTTTAGGAACAGCCTTGTTCTTTGGTGAATGTTTAAAAAATGATCAGGTGATAGTAACTATTCCAGGTCCTTTAATTTGATTTTTTCGACTAAAAGAGAGAAGGAAAAAAAAAAGAAAATTGCCAAAAGACCTCTTGGAAAACCAAAACAAAACATTGCAGCAGTAAACAAAAACTAACAACTTCACAAAATCCAATTATTTCTTTTACAGCCAACTTGAAAGTGGGAGTACGTGAACAGACCTACAAATGCATCTCATTTAGATTTGGCAATCTTTTTGAATTATTTAATCTCATTATAATTAAGCCAGGCTACTCTGGAACACTATTTTCAGTCTCTCTTCAACTTTCCTTTAGTGCCTTGCCAGTGCAGTAATTAAGCCACAAAACTTGTTAGTTGTTGCGCTGACATTCAACATGAGATTAAACAGTGACCTGACGCACAACAAAAAGCTACAACAGCAACAACGGGGACGCAGCATGCGGCGTCCCTTTATCTGTGACAGACTCTCTCTGTCACAGATAATCTGGGGCTGGCACATTTCCTGGTCACTCCTGTGAAAAGCACAGGAGTGACCATGAGAGTGAGTGAGTGAGCCCAGAGAAAAGCCCGGCTAAGACAGTGGAGCTGGCTGCTTCTGTGCTGAAGAGTTGCCCTTTTTGATTTTTTGATTCAGAGCGCAGGGAAAAGGTGAAAGGGAGGGGGAAAAGCAGCCAACTTTTAATTGATGGCAACTGTGCAGGAAGTAGCTGGAGAGATTAGTGCTGTAGATCTCAGGTGGGCTGTGTGTTTTTGTACATTAACGGTGTCTAAACTCATCTTCAAAAGAGGGATGAGAATTGATAATTAAAAAAAAAAAACAACTTGTGAGTCAACCTTTCTTCCTCCTATACTCCTACGCTTAAGTTCAAGACTGAAAATAATATTTTTAGGAGGGATACTCTAATACATGTATTTAATTACTAACAGACAAAAGGACGAAGAATAAAAAACATGGAATAGCATCTTTTTCAACTCCTTAATTTCTGGCATTGATGCAGCTACACCAATTATGTAGGTGGCAGTAATAAAAAAAACAAAAACAAAATTGCTTGAAAAGTCATTGCTTGCAAATTGGTCCAAAAAACATATTCTTAATACTGCAAACTTCTGTCCTACAATCTTAGCTACAACTTGGCATACAGCACTACTTTAATGTTTTGCTTTTATTTAATTGAGTCTTTGAATAAAATTGTATTTTAAAAGACCCCAGGAATGAAATAAATTTGATTGGCTTAGTGAAACACTAACACTAAAGTGCTAATGGTGTTCATTAAATTCACAATTTGTGTATTTGAAATAACAGCGGAAGAGGACGAAAAGTTTTGGCGTCAACATTTCGATGCATCTTAAACAGACTCAGACTCGTCATGTGTTGGATTCCGACTACACCAGGATCTCTGGTGGCAGTGAAGAACACTCTTCTGAATGCTGTACAGTCACTCACACACACACAAGCATCCATGCATGAAAGCATTAACACACATTCCAGCCTGCACAACCCTGCACCCTGGTACAGACCACACACTGGAACACTGACACTATCGCTGAATACTGACACAATGGCAGCCATCGGTGTCACATCACTGCACCACACAATAGTCCTACAACACAGAGGAAAAAAAAAAAGCCCACCCAAACAATGACAACAAAAAAATGAACCCATTAAAATGGTCTTTCTTGCTAAGAGCCATACAAATTTATTCCATGTGTTATTCATGAAAATAATTTTTGAATTCATTTTCAGAATTTAAAACAAGAGGTGAAAAGTGTAAAAAAAAATGGAGCTGGGGGTGTGATGATCATACGAAATACTACTGAGAGTGAATGAGTGTAGAGGTGAGGAGAAAAAAAAAGAACCAGATAAAATGAGTAGCTGCAGTAAAGATGAGGATGAAGACTGAGCCAGAGGAAGAACAGTATGGAGAAGTAAATAAGAGGGAAAAATCCAACGGAGGAAATGGGATGCAGACAAGAGGATTCAACTGTCGTTGGACTCAGCGGAGTGGGGTGGGGATGGGGGAGGAGGGGGTGTATATTTATGAATATATATGTGTGTGTGGATGCACACATGCAATCGCAAAATCCTGGGACGACCACGACTGCAGCGCCCATGCTAATGAGGGCTCGGGGAAGTATTCAGACGGCTGAGCGCAGGGCACTGTGAAAGCATCGCTTGTGCTCGTGCTCAGCTCAGCTGCTGGCTTCACTCAGCACTCAGGAAACTCGAGAACGAGAGCTCCGACTGTCACACGTGAATACGCAGGTTCCACAGGAGGAGACATGAGAGGACCTCGCCCCCGTTTGGTCAATACGTTCAATACATATTAAAGCTGGGCGACTGGAGGGCAGGTTGTCTGATCAGCACGAGGTCTGGGCTGCATCACTGCCTGGTTTAACATGGATCACACTTATCACACAGTGGATACGAATGTTAAATATATACATTTAACCAGGTCGGCACGATTAATCAAATTCTGAACACATGCTGTTGTCATCACAATTTCAATATTGACCAAAATAATATTTGGTTAAATGGTTCTATCCACAGTACATGCAATAGTACCATGAAAACAACAGAACCAAACAGAGAAGGCTGGTGTTGTGAATTAACAAGACACAAAAAACAAATACATTTTTAACCATACAAATGTACCCTCCTGCCCCTCAAATACATTTTTAACCATACAAATGTAAGCCCCGCCTCTACTCTCCCACCCTTCTCTGCCTGCTTCTTTTTTTTTTTTTGCACGATGTTTGTTTGACATGTCTCATTTTGCCATATTTACAGTGAACCACCCCAAGAAAGTGGACTACGGACTAAGGAGTCTTACAATTTCTGAAGGTCTTCTCTGGTCTAAAAGAGAAACAATTGGGCCATCAGTCTTCCCTTCTTCCCCTCTCAGGAATTCATTCTCCCTAATAGTGACTTTGACCATTAGAGTCGATCACTGCAATTTTTTTTCCCCCAGGTTTGAGTGCTGCCGTGAAGGTCCCTCAAGTCTGATGATGATGAAGCCTTTTTCCACATGCTGTGTGGCCAGTTATGGACTGGGACGGTTAACCTTGCTTGGTCAGCGGCTACTGAAGAATGGCAGGAGAAGGGACGCTGGAGACTTCATCTCACAACGCCGGTGCCTTTTAAAGGCGAGTTCGTTTTTTTGGAAAAAAAAAAAACAGGAGAAGGGAGCAGAAACGTTGGCCGTTCCTGTGTTGTTGCTGTGTTTTTATCTGCTGCACTGAAGAGCAGTGGGTGGAAAATTAAAGGGAATGAAAATAGTATTTTGTTTCTTGTTGGCCCAAACTGTAGATTCTTCTGAGTAAAAATGACAAATGTTTCAAAACTATATTCAAAGGATGAACAACCATACTACAAAAAAGGCAGGAGTAATGACACAGCAGAGTTTTCAACAAAGGGATGGGACCACGCTAGTTGTTGGCTAATGTCAGCTATATAAATGAAGATCAGAGAGGTCAGGTCCCATCATTGGAAATGCCACGCAGTTCCACTGAATTCTATTAAACGTAGCGGCGACGGAGGCACAGCCAGTGAGCGCCTGATGCCCAGTGCTGACCTTTCAGGACATATTACCCGGAGGAAATTCCATTTTCCAATATTTACTGACACTGCGGCATTCTAATGTGCCACTGCAAAGGACCTGATGGAGAGAGTCACACGCAGCCAACACCAAAGGTGTCCTCCATCACGTTCCTGGAGGAAACAATGCTCTTAATTTAAGTGGGGTCATTTTGCTTTTGCGGCAATTTTGCTTTGCTAAGTAGAAGCAACAGAAAATGTAAACATGGCCAAGCTGGTGTGAAATTATCATTTAACCTCGACGTTTTTGAATTTACACAAATGTGACAAAAACATTTTTTGTTTTTCTTGGGTTTCTTAATTAGTAGCATTGCCTGTAAATCCTGTGATGTTTACCAGTTATGAGAGGTATAAATCAAATTACGTGTAGTGTTTTTAATTAGTTAGTCTGTAATTAAAAAATAAAACTCTAGATGAGCTTCTGTGTTTTAGCTTCATTGCGCTCATATTTACGGGTGAAGAGAAAAAGAAAATCAAAACAATTCATACAGCTGTGAAAAATTGGAGCTGTTCAGTAGAATTAACTATGACCAACGTCACTCGTGTCCAACAACACTTTGGGTCGACACCCCGCCTTTATCTAACGCTGCACCTGAGGACTGCGGCGAGAGTTGCAGGGATGTTGGTGCATTTTTGAGCCTTCTAGGGTAAAGTATTGTGACTGAGATCCATGGCAGGGTTTAAGGGGATACTGGGAACAAAGCACAAGAAAGACTTCCCTGTTCCTTCAGGCAGGAACTGAAGTAGGAGATAAGGCTATGCAGGGGTAGGAAATGATTGATTCCAAGCTGGAATCCCAAGACACTTCAAGATGAATACAATGTCACATGAAAAGTTAAATATATCAAAACACATTTCTTTTTTTAAATATGACAGTGGCAGACAATAAAAGTGAATGTGGAAATGACTAAAGAGTGAAGAAAGAGAGAGCACACCTTAAAAATTTTGTGGGGGGATTTGAATTTATAGATGCTGGGGGGAAAAAAGGGAACGGGTGGAAGAGTTTTGTTGATTCAAGGAATGTTCAAAGACTCAAAAGGGAACGGGTGGAAGAGTTTTGTTAAAGACTCCAGTGTTAATTTTCTTTTTTTTAAAGAAAGTCCTCATCAAGGACCTTTTTTTAAAGAGGTTACAATGATGATGCATTAGTCTACTACAATGTCGAATTAGTGATGGTTTCATCGTAGTGGGGTAGGTGACACCAAGATCAAAATACAGCAAATGCGTGTCCTCTTTTTTCCTCTTCATTATTCATTATAAAAGCCCAATACATTTTTATAAATGAATTCATTTAAATTTTAGGAATATAAAAATACTACATTGTTTCATTTCATTTCTATAATTAAAACCAAACTGAAATGAAAACAGACCAAATCGGACTAAGTTAAAATTCAGTCCAAAGTACAATGGTGTCAAATTAACACTGGATTAAACCAAAAGCTTTTGCACTGGTTTTGTATGTTCCTGTTTTAATTTTGCACTGGTTTTGTATGTTCCTGTTTGGGAGGGGGAGGGGATGACATTAGTGTTAATGTACTGTTAGATTTTAGCTGTCTGTTGTTTGTGGTACTACCCTTGATGGGTAAATGTAAAAACTGCCATGGGCAACCAACGCTAAAGTAGGTGGACCTTTAATGAGGGCTGCATTAGCCAGATCCCCTCTTCTTTTCACGCCGGCTAAAAGGATGCTCCATATTTCTGTAGCACAGACTCGCTCACCCTGAAACTCCACAGTAATACTACGGCACAGGAGCAGACATTTAGTCTGAGTGTGACAGGGGAAAACGGAGCTGGGGGCGAGCCCAGAAAGACCGACTTTAGAGGTAACCACGGGGACCAATTAAATGACGCGCGTCAATTTTTCATGTTCATGCTGCACCTGCCAGTCAGACTCTTCAACGTGCAGCAGTGTTTGTCAACAGATAACTATGTTTCTGCATCATGGTTGTACACACAAACAAACATATATATACATATATATATTTAAATAAATATATATATATATATACACATATATGAGCAGATCAAAACTTTACTGTAAAGAAATTGACTTTCATTTGACCCTCATAGCTTTTTGCTCTACTTTGTACCCGAGTGTCAAAACCTAAAAAAAAAGCCCTTTACAATAAATACTATTTGGCTGGCTGTCTCACCCCTAGTAGTTTTAGATTAAAGAATGCAGTTTATTAAAAAAAAAAAAGAACACACATTGTGGAAATGTCTTTTAATAGAGGTGAGCTTCATTTAGTCGGGCTAAACTGCAGCTGGCTGATAGATGACCCTTGAACTGCTGAGCTGAGAATTTGTGGTTTCTTTGGGTTATTTTGCTTCCCTACTGCAGTGTGTAATTTACAACCCTGTCTGCTTTAAAGCGTCTTGAGCCAGAGCAGGGATTAGATGGTGACCGGCAACAGAGCCCATGGATCTCCATAAATTTCCACTGATTGAATGCAAATTGGAAAAGTACACAATGTATGTCAGTATACATCATGAGAATAAAGCTCGCACAACAAACACATGCGGCAAAACGCACGACAATTCCCTAAATATGCCTGATTTTATGTACATGTATGTTTGTATCTGTACATGTGTTTGGGCGGTGAGCAGGGGACGGACAGGAATTTATGGGCTACATGGTGGCTAACGCATTTGCATTATAAATCTCAATTACATAGCATTATTTGTTTACCAACCCACTTAGACAGAATTCTCATAAGGTAGCCTGCAGAGGCGGGTCATAAATTCTTAATAAACTGCAGTGCAGACCTTTGTACGGCACTGACCTAAATCCTGCAGCTCATCTCGGCACTACACTCTTTTCTTAAAACTTTAATAAGGCTCCATTACACATATTTAACAGTTTTTCAGAAACCTCAAACTAGATCAGGGAACTTGTCAAACCGAATATGTCTGGTGGAAAAAAAAGGGGGGCAAAAACACTTGACACAGGAGATACTGGAGGAGGGGGGCAAAAACACTCCTTGACACAGGAGATACTGGAGGAAAGTGCGGGGTAAGTTGCTGTGCTATCAGCCTGAGACCATCTGCCAATGTGTTTTATACGAGGAATAAACCCTGGAGGCCAAAGGCACAGAGCGCAAGTAATTAATATGCCTAGGTTAATGAGTAGTCCCAGCATCGCCCTCGCTGCTCTGACTGCCAGTGTGTTGTACGTCCTGGTGGCGACTCTCTTAACTGCGGCTGTAGTGTACGGTGCCTTAATAGCAACACGCCATGCCTCTGCTAAATGCCTCTTGCTTTATTAAAGATATGGCCATACATAAACCACTTGGGTAAATAAATATATTTTAAAAAAAACCACCACCTAGCAATTATACTGCTAATTAAAAGGCAAAGTACTCTTAATGGATTCAACTCTCAGGAGGGATGTTCCTCTCTCCGCACAAATGCACTGCCCTCTCTTTCTACCCCGCTTATCTTTCCATCATTTATACTCTTCTTCTACCCTACATCCATCTCTGGAATTTCTCTGGCCGACGTGTTCGGGGTGAGCGCTGCCTGTCCTGCTCGTGTTATGGTCTCTTCTGAGACAGGAAAGCTAAGGGCGACAGCTGGATTGGTTCACGGGCTGGAGGGGTCCTCGTTCTTAGAACAGACTTCTGTTCCAACAGCCAAAACTGGTCATTAATTCAAGCCTCCAGTGTTTTAAAAGTCCCCAAATAGTGTATACACACACACACACACACACAAATGTGTGTATAGGCAGAAAAAGAAGGAGTTAGGATGTAAGAAACAATCAGTGCAGCGTGGCTAACACACACACATATATATGTATATATACACATGTGGGTCAGCAGAGACAACAGCCTAACAGTGGTGTTGCAAACAGTTCCACACCTACACAAACGGACATCTGTTTCCTACTGGGGATTACTGTGTTTTCATTTAGCGCCGAAAATAATAATAATGGTCATGGAAATAAAAGTCACCATCGAGAACGGCTTATTCCCAGTTCAAATGATTCACATGTAATTAGGCCTGAACAGGTAAGAGTGTGTGATGGACACTGGGCTGCAGCATTAAGGATCTCAGGGCACGTTAAATAAAACATCAGACATGCTGATCTCTCTCAGGCCTGGAGCTCATTATACCAGAACTCAAAGAAGAAGATCTATACAGTGAGATAGATGTAGATGTTTCCAGCATGGGCTGATGTACCTGACATCATTTCTTCTACAGAAAGTAGCTCAAATAGCTCAAACCAACCAAACGTTATAAAATATATACTCGATTTTTTGAATTGACAAAATGATGAGCAGTATTTGCCAGCAGCATTAACTTAAAGGCAGCGTTTGCCCGGTATCAAAACTGACATTACACGGCGAACATTTAAAGTCAGCGGGAATCCTGAACCGTCACCGCGTTCTGCAACGAGAAAGCTCAGAGAAGCTCTGATTTCTCTTCCTGTTTGAAGCGTCCCAGCTAAACTCCCGGACAAATCAACAACAAAACCCATACATTTTTCAGACACAAAGGCAATAAGTCTGTGCCTTAAGAGATGGCACATGAATAAGTTGGAGGATAAATCATGCACAGCGTTTCCCTGAGGAGTGGTACAGTGCAAGTATTTAAGTGAAATATGAGGCCATGGATAATTGAATGTGTGTTTCCCGATGTCAAGGACCATGGTCTCTTGGGAATGTGCATGTGGAGAGATGATGGAACGGGGAACTGGGGAGTGGGCTATGTAAGGATAAGAGAGAGAAAGAGGGGGGAGTGTTTGAAAGAAATTGGTAAAGACTGATAAGGGCTATCTCATGAATAACACAAATCAAAGCAGCTGTTAACATCTAACGGGCGTTGCTTTGTAAGCGTTTTACTTGGATTTGCTCCTGGATTTTCTAATGAGAAAATACAGAAAAAAAAAATCATGTTCTCACTTTGTAATGCAGACAAAAGTTAAATATTATTAAAGTTAAATAGTCACTACCTGCTATAGTGGATCTTTAAATTAGATTTTACAGCGCTGCTGACTGACAGCATTTAGAAAACACAAGGAGAAGCTGTCAAAATGCAATTAGTATGAAAGCTTTGCATCTTTAAACTGGGACGACTAGAGCACACAGAAAGGTCGCTTCCCGGTCCGAGAGTAGCCGAGTTCAAGTCCTGCATTTGGATAATGAAAAAGTTAACTTTCAGTCAACGGCGTCAACTTGTGCTCTCTTGTCAAAACATCCATGATTAGTGGATGCTAAATTCAATTCAATTAATCAAGTATACATTTACAAACAGCACAATGATGAAATTCTGGTCATTTAATTAATTGGATATGAGACACTGGAGCAGAATTCATAGAAGAATTAAACTTGTTTTGCATTAGGCAACATCTTGTAAATAAACTAAATAAACTTTTGTCCAGTGAGTCTGTGGGTCAACGTTGTGTCGTGGTGTAAGTTGTATAGGATTATAAAAATACCTTTTTAATAACAGTAAAATTCCATTTTAACTTACATGATCAGCAATGGTGCGACCCAGTTTGTCCATTCTTGATCCAGCCTCTGCAATCTTCTTGGCAGCACTGATGACATCGGATGTGTTCTTCAGAGGTCCTTTACCCCTGGAGAAAAAAAAAAATAAATCAAGAATCAATCACTGTGACGGAACAACAGAGGTCCTTTACCCCTGGAGAAAAAATAAATAAATCAAGGATCAATCACTGTGATGGAACAACTTAGGCCTCTCACTCATGGATCGTTCATTGGTTTGGGAAGGTCTCTTCATTATTAAAAACAACTTAAAAAGAGGTCAAAAGGTCACAAGTCCAGGTGCACAATTGACTAACACAAAAAGAGGTCAAAAGGTCACAAGTCCAGGTGCAAACAATTGACTAACACATGTTTCAAGGTCACAATAAAACATTTACATTTAAACGCTTAACGCCAAGACAACTGACATGGGATTAAAAGGAGAAAAAAAAAAGATTTGCTAAAAATTCAGGGTAAATTTTAAATTAAAATGTGCTTGACATTTAACCAAAACTGGTTACAGCAAAGGTCAATGCTATGACCTGAGTAGTCTGTCGGTAGTTTTTTCCTTCTTTTTCCCCAGTTGGGACTGTTGGACAAAGTTGGCAAAGGCAGAAATTGGACACAAAGCTGCTCTCTTCAGGCTAAAAAACAAGCCATCCAACCCTGAGCAGATGGAATTTTGTGGTCTTGCACAATTCCATTTCCCTCGCTTCTCCTTCCCCTTCCTTTCCTTTCTCCGTTTTTATGACGGTGCTGTTCGAGTCAGGGTCCTGGGCCACGTGTCAGAGCACGTAATAGAAATTGTCTAGGGATAAGTGAGACGTTTGAGACTGAGCCAGAGGAATTACAAGGTTTTCACAGAGCTTTGCTTAAGTGATACCCAAAGATTGCAATGAAAAAAAAACATCACATCCTATAATTGAGTTTTTCCACAAAACGTCTGCTTACATATAAAGGTTCTGAATGCATTTTCTAGCCATTTCCAACACCATCTCAGCAGCCCAGTGATGACCAAACACTTTTTTACATATAAAAGAAGCGGCGGACTCTGGGGTCTGGTGACAGCTGTAACTCCCCAGATAGATGTGGGAAACATTGGACTGAACATCCAATTGCACAAGACGCCACTAGATACATGTATTCAAAATATACTGCATGTTTCCACATCACATATGCCTTATTCATGAACGCCACCATACTGCAATAAGCCATGAAGGAGTCAACAAAAGACAGTCTCAGTCCCTGCAGCTTTGAGAGCATCGCGGTTCAGATGAATTACTTCATACAACATTAACCTTGGCAGGGCTCCGTGCCAGCTCAAGGTTGAGGGTGCAATAATTTGGGTGTGGACGGAATTAGCCGGCTGCTGACCTTCCATGTGCTCTCGCCTCACGCAAGAGTGAGGGCATAATATGAAGATATATATTCAGCTCACAGATAAAGCAGGACAAATGAGAAGCTACCTGAAGCCCGAGCGCACGGCATAAAAACCTGCGAGGAAATTAGTGCATCGCTTGGCAAGCTCTCTGGGTAAATGAAACAGCATTCATTTCTGTAGGGTTCTTTTACCATCTCCATTTTACTTCACACTATTAATACTATTCTGGGCATGTATACATTTTATCAGATCAAGATTTACTTAACATACAGTACGCTTAATCTCAGCACCCATAACACCCACAAGCAACTACTAAATACGTAGGCAACCAGTGAGAACAGTATTTTCAACTCAATAATGAGCCTATAGTGTTGCCCTTTAGTTTAATTTCTTCTGCAAAAACAGTTTATTCTTAACAATTAAGTTTGGGTTGCTTTTTTTTGATTGCCTTGGTCATAACATTAGAAGTAGCTTTGGGTGATACACAATGATTTGAACTGTTTCTAAGCAGCTGAAACAGAGATGTGGGTGGGGATTACAAAATGCAGATATTCTGCCTTCTGGACATTTTCTGTACCTTAACTTGACTTCATGGACCTCATTCTCTCCTTTTTTTCAGACAAGCAAAAGACTAACTGTGTTAGAACTCAAGATGGCCCTCAGAGACATGAGACAGATTTTGGTTTATACCTAAGTATTAGATATATATATGTGTGCCTCTTGTCTCTCCAGCCACAGACTTCAAAAAGGGTTCAAGGCTTACCACGTATATGGGTCTGAGTTATATAGAATATATATACATCTTGTAATGTTAACTTTTTTTTATACAGATAAAATGACCGTAGAAAAGGAAAGTGTGTGGGAAATGTCAGTTGCAGCCACATTATCTCGGTTCTTTGACTGAGTATTAAATAAGACATTTGCAGTGTTCTCTGTGACCTCGGATAAATCCATGAAATTAACTGTGTTCAAACTTCAAGCCCCCTGTGCCCCCGACTGGGTCTCCTGTATTGTAGTTCGTCAGACAAAGACAGAGGGCTCTTTGACCATCTCTGTCGACGAAGGCAGAAAGGCAGCGCGTTTCATCACCATGGCAGATGTGACTCAGACTTGGGTACAAAGTGTGTTCTGAGTAATTTGCGTCAACATTTAAAGACTTGTCATGCAAACACAGTCATACTCGAGTATGTCAACAACCAGTTAAAATGTCCCAGTCACATCCTCCACACAGAAAAGCTGTCCAACACTTCACTGTGTTAAGATTGCCACATTCACTCCAGCCTCAGTGTTGCCCACATGCGTGGATGAACACCCACGTGCACGAAAAAATAATTTGTTTTCATTAGCTTCCGTCAACAGGTGTCAAGCACCATCCATTTAACCCACATGGTAATTAAAATATACAGAGCTGCCCGGGTCATAATTCCGATTGTTTCCACAAACGCTGCAGTCCCGTGTTCTCGGAGAATAATAACATGGGAGGCTGGTTCATAGCTGCAAACATGCATCCTACATAAACTGACCCCAATACGGAAACTGTGGGAAGCATTTTATGGTGATTCAAAGACAAGAGTGAGGTACTAACAGCTGACCACTTATTCACACTGGCTGGCTGCATCTTCAAAACATTTGCTGGTAATACAGCTATAGACTTTTTGGTTTGAGAGAGACTTGTGTCTTCTTTAACAATCTTTTGTCTTTGGCAGGGTAAATAGCATATCTGTATCTTAAAAAGATACCTGGTTTGCCCTCTGTTTTGCCTGAGCAGGACAGCAAAGGTGGGAGAGAATACCGTTAACTCTGGAAGCCAGGTGTGTCCAACCCAGGGATTTCTATACTTTTCCTGCAGCATCGGGACAAGTGTCAAGTCTTCCCCCCTCGTCCTCCTCCTCCAAGTTGAATAATTCACATTTATTGTGTTCAATTTCCTCTGAACTTAATTAAAAACACTACACAACTGCTAGTCTATAAATCATTGCAGTTTTCTTTACTGTGGCACAGAGTACAATAGCGCTGCGCCCCCACCTTGGGAATCGGCAGCCTAACCTAAGTACAATAACAACCAGTACATGTTTATGGGAGGACTACATATTTGTGGGACATAAAATCTTTACTTGGGAGAGAAAAAAACAAGAATTTCCTCCTTGGACAGGTGGTGGAGAACCTTTGTGGTTCTCGTGTCAGAGTTGAGGTAGAACTAATAATAGGAAGTCATGCAATGAACCAGGGTGACTATTTATAAACAGAGGTCTTCAACGTACACGTGCGTCATAATACATTTTACGGCTTATTTTTATTCATGCCATGGACTCCGGTTCATTACACCATCCAAAGTAATGAGTATCTGAGAATCCATTATACTTCTCTATGAGGATAAACACGATTACAATACTAATCCTTTTTTTTTTTTTAAAGGGTTTTGTGTTTCTTTCTGTTCTGTTTTGTTCGTTGTGTTGCATAACTGAAGGTTTATGGTGCGTGCATAAACACGATGTCAGTCTGGACAAGAATGTTAATTATTTATGGCAAATATATACTTTTTTTTAATATTGTAAAAAGCTGTTTGATGTGGAAGAAATTCAACACTGGTCATATCCTACAAAAAGTCCCGAAAAGTAAATACAACGGCTTCTCTGTAAAAATCAATATCTGAGAAGCAGATTTTGAGTTTGTGGGTTTTTCTGCAAACACCCATCGCTTGTAAACACAGCAGCTTTCAGACACACACTGTTACCAGCAGCAGCTTCTGAGACCCTTTTTACTGCAGAGATATTTTCTATTATTCCAGGGAACATCATGATACTGGAGCTGTTTTCCAAGCCAACAAGCCACCGGCAAAGGGTGACTCTGGCTGACGTATAGCAGCTCGGCGTCTAAGCTTTACAGTGAGAATTTGGCTTCATTTTGAGTGAGAGAGAGAGATGGGGGGGGCCTGGTACAACGCTTGTGGTTGTGCATATTAAAATCAAAGAATAAATGGGGAAAAATAATCAGGAAGAAAATCCTACTAACAGTGCGTGCTGCTGAAGGGGAGAGGAGAGCAATGACGCGTGAAAAAGTAACTGGATGCACGGTGCTGTAGAGGTGTGGACTCACATACGTACTATACTGCTGTATGTTGGGTTATGTTTGATGTATTCCACACAATATTTACAACTATACATAGAAGCTGCCCGTTCACACTTTAAATACTTTAAATCAGGAACGTTCCATAAAGTCAAATACGCAGACAGCAAATGACTGACACTTATTATGAATTATGGAAATGATTGAAATCCTTCATCCACGCAGAAAACCTTCTGTCCAGCAGCGATACAAGAAGAAGATGGAAAATCTACAGATGGAGTTGGGACGGATCCAAGCCATTAGTCTCAACTCACCTGGTGAAGTCTGTCATCTCCATCATGATCATGCACATCTGCTTAGCCAGCACAATGATGTCATTGCCGCTGTCATCCCACTTGGACACCTCAGCATCCAGCTTGCTCTTCTCTTCTTGGAAGCTGGCCACCTGTTCTGCGATCTTCGCCTTCTGCTCCTGGGGCAACTGGGCCATGATAGCCTGCAGGAGGAATTATGGAAGATGCTGAGGGTTAGTACACGGCACATTTACATGCTTTCGGGGTCTCTGAGGCACCGTGTTTTACATCATCTCACATGGTTTCTATGGATGCAAAAACACTTTTCATTGTTGTCACGCAGTGAATAAGACAACAGTGATGTTAATTCTTCTACAATTACCTACATTTTTGTCACTGTAACCCAGTTAATTTCTACCAGTTTTTTTATATACCAGTGTCAGTGAAACGACTTTCACCCCAACAGTGCATATCTTTAAACAGTAAATATGGAATAAAAAAGGACACAGAATGCAACAGAATCAGACCCAGTAAGCAGTAATTTGACTCCCGCTTCCACACAAACTCCCAGCAGACGGTTGAGTAACTAAGAAATGAAAGATTGTTTTATGCATTCACGCTTAAAAAGAAAAAGAAAAACTATTAACTATGTAATGGAAAAAACAATGGAGGGACCTGACATCACAGCTTCTAATGTTCTGGTGTGGGAAGGAAATAAAATAAGGCTTGCGATAAATACTGCCCGACAACACTACTTTTGCTTTTGTTTTTGTATAATTCAGAAATAGAACAAAGGCATTACAGGTTTGCTGTAGGAATAGTAGTGGCTGTGTTATACAGGACTAAAATAGTTAAAAACTAAGAACTATGATCAAATGTATGAATGTATGAATGTATGAATCTAAAGGTCATGCCTTTTGCAGTCAATTGCACACCCCGTCTTAGCTCTATTTTAATGCACATTCTGGGAATAAAATATTTCCAATTGGAAATGAGGCATTCCAGACATAAACCTGAAAGGCTGGAGTGGACAACCAGGATAAGGACGGAGCAGAGGAGGAAAGGAAACAACATTATTTTCCAGTCACTTCATTTCTGTATTGATTTCTGCCCTTCACTTTGGGTGTTGTTATTGGCTGTGGGGATACACACCAACGCTGGCCAAAAGACCCAGTTCAAAAAACCATAAACACATCACAAGAAAGGGGAGGTGAATGGCAAATATGGGCTGGTGAAATGCACCTCTGTGCATTCAAACTCTATTTGGGCCGTGAAAAAACAATTGAGGTTCGAGTTTGTAAAAATGTTTTTTTAACAGTCTCTCACTTTAGAGGGAATTCAAAATATAGTAATTTTATTTCTCTAAGAAAAATATGGTACAACATCTCACATCAAAAGTGTAGGTAAGTACAAAAGACTTTTTTTTCTTTATACGTTCATCATATTATTAAACAGTGCACTTTCTTTTTAATAGATGAAATAGTTGGTGATCTAAAAAACATCTGGATACTCATGATGTAATTTGCAACCTACCCGTGCGCTCTGGCCAGCAATAAGTTGGTCATCCTCTGTCTGCACGCTGGTCCTGCTGCGGACATCAAAGTCTTCGGTCTCAAAGTCGGAGTCGTCCAACTCCTCTGGAGTCTGTGGATGGCAAAACACAGAGAGGAAAGAAAGCAGAGCAAGGTCACAGAGGACGAGAAAAGGATCAAAAGAGCCAGATATAGAGGGTGGGGAGAGGCGACAAGAAAAGGTGAAGGAAAAGAAAGAAAAATGGATCAGGGGAGAAAATATAGTTTGAGTTAAGAACAAAAGATAAAATACAATAATACTAGTAATACCTGAAAAGACTACAGCCTTCACATAGACCTTTTTTATCTGTGGTGCTATGGTCAACACAGTGTCAGTTAATGTCACCGTAATGACTCTGCATTTCAAGAGCAAAAACTAAGGTACAGACTGGTGTCTGCATATAACACCAAAGGCAACAAGCTTCAGTGTTCCATTTGTCAACCTACTGTGTCCACTCTCTCTCTCTCTCTCTCTCTAGCTCCCTCTATCACTTACATCAAACAAATGTAAAACAAGGCACAAAGCTAAAAAAAAAAATTAAAATATCAATATTTAAAAAAGCACTTCCATCTGAAAAGGTCAGACTCAAATATAAACAGACAGGGAAAAGTATCTGCTGTTGATATAGGCACCAGGGGATGATGTGGACAGATAAGGGTGCATTATCACACGTCTGCCACTACTGGAGCTTATCCACCTGCCTCAATGCATCTCTTTTTGAAATGGATTTAGAACCCTTCCGTCTAAGAATAGCTGAACGTCTCTGAACAACCGTACACTGCTTTATGTAACGCAGAGCTGCTCTTTTACTCCTGGGAATGGGGAACAGTTTCTGATACAAAGCTTTGGTGACTCATAGGCATCTCTTTCAACCCAGACAATGCTATTCAGTGGGGCAGACATATCACCTGCTGTGTCCTGTGCAACAGATAACCTGTGAATGTGGGAGGCGCGGAAATGATGGTTCATTGTGTGCACCCAAAAAGAATCAAGACAGCATCAAGACGGGGGGAAAAAAAATAGACGGCAGTTAAAAAATATCAGATCAATATTTTTTAAACAATGGCTCATGCAATTGGAATCCTACATTAAACTGAATTTTGTACAACACCTTGTCTGAAGCGTGTCTGAAAAGTGAAACACGGTTTCACCTGGATGGTAGACATATCTAATATTTTGTCTGCTGCTGCACACAGGCACGAGGCCGTGCTAAGTAACACAACGCACTGCTGTAGTTTTTTTCTTTTTCTTTTGTGACACCGTGCTGATTACTGATGTGAAAAGAGCAATTTTTTTGCAGCAGCAGCGAGAGAGACCTGGTGGGGTGATGCACAGTACAAATCATAGGGTAAGGACAGATGTCCCCTGTGTTTTGCAGTCACTGTCTCCTTGACTCAGAAACGGTTTGATGTCTCGGAGGCGGACTTCTCAAGACGGGGCTGTAGGTGGGAAAGGACTTTATCCACCTGTCAAATATCAGACGGAGGAAACAACAGGCTGCCTGTGCACCTCTAACAAAGGTTAAAGACTTGTCTATCTGTAACGCCGTCCCGACCACACACTTGATGATTGTCTGATTTAACAGTGGGCCACGGAGCACTGCTGCTGTCGATACAGTGTTGTCAAAAGTGTCCAGAGAGTGTGTTATTGTGCGGTTGTGTGAAGACGTCCTCTGGAAAAATGACTGCTGAAGTTGATTTGCATTATTTATGATGTTCTTCTTGAACCTATCAGCTTTATTACTTCTACTTCCTCTGCAAATGAAGGTCACTTCAGTGACAGTTGAAAAGAGAAACGGACAAGAGTTAAACTACAATTAGAACAAATATTAGGAAAAAAAAATCAAAACTCATCAACAAGATGTGTAAAGGTGTGAGGGTTCTAAGTTATCCTGGAAAAAAAAAGAAGACTGCTTTGGATGGTTGAACTGGAAATGCAGTTAATAAATGGACAAAGACAAAGACGACGTGTGAAGGTCTAAATAGTTTCTAGCTGAACAGTCAGAAATATACTCATCCAAAAGTCTTTAATGATCATCTCTGCACCAGATTAAAAAACAAATCCTGAGTCTCAGGTGAATTGGATCATCTTTCTTTTCACATATTAAATTAAGTCTGCAGTATGTCTAATTGCTTTCTCCTGCGCTCTGTTAATGGAAAACTGTTTAATGGTCGTAAACAAGGGAGATTTGTCAGAAATCCTGAGGTTTTTCTTCAAACATGTAACACACCTACACGTTCTGACCTGACGAGTGTCGCTCAACCTACTCCTCAGGCACAGTGTTAAAAGCTTAATCATCGGGAGCTGGAGCAGACAGAAACTGAATGAACTTCTTTTGCTTTTCCGTCCGACTAAAAATGCTAATTAAAATGCCCGTCTTAAATCAATGGCTTATTATAATGCAAATTCCACATAATGGTTTGTCCCTCATTTATTAGGTTTTGTCTATGTCTGTGGTGCATTATCACCAAGTGCCTGGGCACGGCTACGGAGCGGTACTGTCAACTCCACAATGCGCTGTCGAGACTAATGATTGCGACGAAAAAGATTAAAGTGTTGAAAGTAATGGAGGGAAAACATGATACAACCGACCAATACACAGTGACTCTGCGTAGTAACTAGATAATTGGGCAGAGTTTAGAAGCAACTCGACTTCCTTAACAGTTCTGCAATCGGCGCTTAAAAATCCGTCTCCTTTCAGCGCGTTGTGTGTTTTATCGTCATCTCAATGTCGGTCTTTTCCGTAAGCCCTCGGTGGTGAAGTCCACCATCTGTCTCAGTTATAGTTCAAGTCGAGTGGAGGCATTTAACCCAGGGACAACTGGGACTGCCGATGGACTAGATTGCAAGTCTGGTCAATTAGGTCGACTCTTGCCTGAGACATGTTAATTGATGCCTTCTAGGGCTGCACGCACATCCACTTCCTCACGTTCTATTAAAACGGCATCTGGTGCAAGCGGCAATTACCATAGTGTACATTTTAATGCATACATCTAAGCAAACACTACATTACCATTAACCTCCAAAAAAGAGATGATCAGAATCAATAGATCTTTTACAACAGAACAAAAATGCTGTGCGACTTACCCTGATCATGAGGACAGCCTTACGAATGTCACGAATGCCATCATACACCAGGCGGGATGCATCAATAAACTCGTTCTCATCCACAGGTTGTGTGGGATTCGCGCTCAAAGCCTCCACTGCAGACTCGATCTGCTCCGTGAACCGTGGCATGACTAAAGGAAGGTTCAATAAAGGGTGAGAGTTAGACGACAAAAAAAAAAACAATAATAAAAATGTGCTTGGAAAAAGGAACAAAGGTATTCTAGAAAGAAAAGAAAAAAAAACAGAGGTGACACATAATAAATATATATCGTATGGGTTTCACCTACGTACAGTGTCATGGTTACAAATGAGGTGAGAAGCTATTCTTAAAACTGTTAGAAAAATAAGGTTAAGCTTTTGTTAGTATGCATCACAAATAACGACATTTACATTTCTCTGAAACAACTTCAAAAATGTTGAAAAAAAAAGATAATAGAACACAATAGAAATTACTGTTCAAACAAAGTTAAGTAATCAACACAATAATGAATTAAAACAAATAGAAATGAACAATATTTTGTCACTTTCTTTGTTTTACCAGATTCCCTCAAACCTACCCCACTTGTCCACATCCCATCTGGTATGATAAAGTACTAATATTATACGCATCTGTGCTGAATGATAAAGTACTAATGTTATACGTATCCGTACTGAACGTTGGCACCAGGAACCACAGTACGGGTAATTTTAGAACATTAGAAAGTGCAGCAGAAGCTGCAGCTTTAGATCCTGTTCAGAGAATTCATCTCTGGAAGTAACAAACAGAAGCTGAATACAGACACATGCAGCGTCAATGAGCAGTAAAACAAAGGCAGATATAGAATAGAACTAACTGCACCGCGCCTGACCGAAAACTGATTTTCATTACCATTCATTTGCAATGTTTTTGCACAATTCAGTTGGTGCATGGAGAGAGGGAGGGAGAGAGAAAGAGAGAGTTTCCTTTTCCTTTAATGAAACAACTTCTAACAATAAAATACTACCATGGCTATAACAAGTGTCAATAAAAATCATATTATGTTAAATTAAAGTCAACTCTATAAATACCTTTTGGGTGAGACGCTGCAACGTCGTTGTGCAACACAAGCTGAAGTTCTATTACTACAGGGGCTACTGTGTATATTATTAGTATCAGCTGAGTCAGTGGTGGTTGGGTCCTCAACGCCCAAGTCGAAATAAATAATAAAAAGTTTTAATGGGCAACGGGCGGACAGCAGTGGACAACTCATGTGTCTCTACCATTGCTGGTCCATTTTTTTATTCTTTTATTTCAGCAGAGAAAACCTTTCTAGTTGTGATTGGTTGTCACAGTCTTACCTGTGTCTGTGAGGAGTTTAGTGGCCTCCAAGACCTTCTCTGTGTAGACCCCCGGCTCATAGTTGTCCATTTCAGAAGTGACCACGTGGACCACTCTGGCGGCTCGGCCCCGAATGGCCCCGGCGGTGCGATCCAAACCATCGACGTCTTTCTCCTGCAGAGCGATGACGCACTTGTTGACGTCCTCCAGGATGTGGTTTTCTGAGGAACAAAACAACAGAGTTATAAGAAGTTCATCAGTCTATTCAACAGTTAAAATATATATTATTTTCATGCCTTTCTTAAAAGAAGTTGATATGATTGTTCTTAATACAGTGCCACCGCTCAGATCAAGTCAAGCGTAGACGTTCAGAAGACACCTTTTTATAGATTGCTTGATAATAGTTAACGTCTAAAAAAACTAATGTTCACTGGGTAAATTACACACTGTCCTTGGCTGGAGGTGAGAGAAGTCAGTCAGCCTAATGCTTAATGAGAACTCCTTAAGGGTCGGCCAGACAAACAATTTGTGTGCTTTAACACACACACACGACAGGATGTCAATTTCGGAGGTAGTTTTGCTGAGGCCAATCAGCCGTAGTATGTATGGCAGAAAAGCATAACGCCACAGGCCCTTTACCACTGCTTTAACAAACGTCTTCGACGCTCTCTGCAAATCCATCTTTATTTCAACTGAACTGCTGTCTTACAATGACAAAAAAACCCAGAAATCCTTATATAAAAGATATCAGACATTCTATTACACCATGTGAGGAAATAAATACCACTTACCGGAAACAGACAGGAAGTCATCGATGGAAGTTATATCATCGACAGCATCGGTGAGGACGCGGACCTGCTTCTCCCATTGCTCCTTGAACAAATCCATATTGTCCTGGGCCACCTTACTGTTGGGCTTGGCAGCAAGGGCTAACGCTGCATTAATCACCTGTAATCACCCAATTACAGCCATTAAAGCTCCATTACAGCATAGCCCTGAGCCACAACATTTGCATAGTTTGATTGCATGAAGCCCCCTTTCTCTCGCCTCAGTGTTGGGGCTGCAGCGTGATGCCAATTCATTCCTGGGAGTAATTATAGACACAGGGTGTTTTGAAGGATTGATTGAAATAAAACTAACAGCAGCCTGTTTTTGGGGGGAAGAAACATCTGTGAGTATCAAAGCCCAGAATGAATGGGAGTCATTAGATGAGATTAAAAAAGAGCAGTGGCAGCAAGGAGAGGGAGGAAGCTGGCATAGCTCAGGGGTGCAGATGAGAGACTGATAGTTAGCGCGCTAAGGCATTTCAAGGATGGGCTCAATGACAGGCATGTAGACAACAGGACCCACGACGGTGGTGTTTATCCACCGACTAATTGTTCAGGAATGAAAATTAACATGAACAGAGACGTGCAATTCATGGTCAAACAGGTACAACAATTATCTATTTAGTAAAAAAAAAAAAAGAAAGAAAAAAAAAGAGGATGTCCTTGTTGCACAAAATGCTTTGAAGTCGGGTACAAATGAAGCATCCAGGAAGGATGTGAAAATTAATAGTGACAGCATTTTAAATGTCATATCATTTTGTTTTGTTTTTTAATTATCATAACTCTGAATTGGTTTTGTTCAACACCACATTAAGGTGGTCATCTGCTATTTGTGATGAAGTCAGCTTTATTTTGGTGATGGCACAGCCTCCTTGTACTGTCTGCAGCAAACAAAACTAATTAAATATTGTCATGTTTTTTAAATAATTATAATAATTATGGACAATAATGATGTCATGTTTATATAATAGGCATGGCTTCACAGCAGCAGATGACTACAGCAGAGTTGTGGGAGGAAACAACAAGGGGCGTTGGGATGACACGACAGGGCTTTAAAAAAATCCTAGCTGTAATTCTGTAATGTCTGACCATATAGGCTACTTTTTTTCTTAATCTTTAAAAGTAGGAATCAGTCAAGGAAGTCTTTTAGACACAGATAAAAGTTAGGACATGATGCCATCATACCTGTGGGCAGAGAGTTTCCAGCTGTGACGCGGCCATGCGCACCAGCTTCACTCCTTCCTCGTTGTTTGAGATGGAACATGCGAGGTTGGCCACCTAAACAGAGCAAGAAAACAGAAATATAACTTTAAACCGTGACAGACAATGATAAACAGACACTTAGACCAGGAATATTGCAAATATTGTGTTTCACCTGCATTTGTGAAGCTGCCCTGACGAAACAATAAGATTGAAAAAGACGGGGGGAAAAAAAGATACACAGAACAAAGATGCTAAATGTCCTCCTTCTGGTTCCTATCTTCAGGGGTCAGACCCGCAGACCTTCCGCTTAAATCTCAACTCCATCTCTTGCCTCCTCTGCTTCTTCATGAACCATCTTAATGTACTTCTTCACTATGACTATAAATCTTCACTGGGCTGTTCCTGTTTTCATCCTGCCTGGCAGCTCAATTTCCAGCATCCTTTGTCCAATTTGTCCACTATCTCAGCCATACTCAAGTCCAAAACATATCGAAGTGGCCCTCTATAACCTTTTCTCCAAACTCGCGAACCTCGGATGTCCTTCTGATATGCTCATTTGCATCCTAGTCACTACTAAAGAAAATCTGATTTTTTTTACCCTTAAAAGTTTGTTAAAAACAAAATATGTTTGCTTCTGCAAAGTTTCTTCCAGAAAATAATTTACAACAACTTTTTCAAAACCAGTGGGTCTGAGTTAAAGCCAGACTACTGAAGTATGGAGATCTGAAGCCATGCGACCGCCAAGGTTTACGGTTTTTAAAGATATTTTCAGGTATTCACTTACAAATCAAGCCAACTCGCTATCAGTAAACACTCCTCTCTCCTACAAAGTAACATTATACTCACATTCAAAACCTTAGAGAAACTAACTATGCTAAAATCTAATCAATTTAACAAGCACAGCGACAGCTAATTGCTGCAGAGCGAGAACAACTTTTCATGATTGCTCAAATTTGCATTTCTGTAAAATATCGCTCTCTTAACCTGAAGATAACAGCTGCAAAATGTCACTTTAGAAGAACAGAAATGTGGGCCAAATCACAGGAAAATTAAATTGAGTAAAATCATCCCTGCGCCTGGGATGAATGCTTTCAGATTTCCAGACTGAGTTTCTCCTACATTTTCTGTTTCTTTGTTTTGAAAAAAGAAAAGAAAAAGAAAAAAATAATCATCTTTCAACACCCACATTCTCTTCTAGTCTGCATAATGTCTAAGTACACTTAAAAGGATCCTGCAAAATTTTCACATGAAACATCTAGTCCTGTGAGCTGGTGAATCAGGTTTGTAATAACGGAACAAACAGTATCAGAGAAAATGGAAGGCTGTCAGACCATCAGAACAACTATGATGCGATAATAGTCACAAGACTGAATGTTATGGTTGAAGGGCCTTTTAAAGAAAATGTCATAGCCTTTCCTGCAATAGTGGTAATATAGTTTGGAACAGAAATATTCTTAGCAATAGCTCTATGTGTTTGAACACATTGACTCCTTTTCTCTCAATAAAGCCCTCGGGGGAAAAAGTGCCATTGACACAGAGTTCAATAAGTTTTAAAAAAAGGCACTTTTTGGTTTTCTATGCCGAGCAATAAACAAATTTTTTTTGATTGGTTTTCTATGCCGAGCAATAAACAAAATTTTTTTGATTGGATTAGATACGATAAGAAGTTTATAGGAAATTAACTTTTGATGAAAACTGTTTTCATCAAAAGTAATATATTTGTAATTATGCAATTACACCAAATGCATTTCCACTTTGTTTGTTTAATGTGGAAAAAAGGAGTGTGGGAAAATGTTTTCAAAGCAAAGATTCGGTCATTGTAATTGACAGAACGTGTCAAACAACATTACAGCTTTTATTTTAAGACAAACACTAAAATACTAAAAAACTAAAAGAGCTTACAACATCAACCTTATGTCTTTTTTTACCGATTTAAGGCCGAATAGAAAAAGATCTTATTTTACAAGAGCACACTTTATGGGCGAAAATGAATTAAAACTAGATGTAAACTCAAAGTAATTACACTCGAATATAAAAATCCAATGGGAGTTTCCACCAGTAAGTTGCAGCTTTTAACTGATTAAATTATTTAAATGCATAACTGGTCACACATCAATGTTGGCAACTAAATATATATATATATATATATATATATATATATATATAAAAATAAAA